TTTATCAAACATTTTTAGTTCAAGTTAAAATTATATAAACGAATATTTCAACGAAACCTAGAATTCGTTTCTTTTAAATTGAATATGTTTGTTTATCCCTGTTCCAAATTGCATAATTATTATGAAAAATGATTTACAATTGACTGTGAGATATTTTCATTTTTAATTAGGTAATTATTATTACGAACATATAGATATTATAAGAATATAAATAAAAATTCCAAATGTTATCCATCTTCACTTAAAGTGGTCCAGAATAATACATTGAATAAAAGAAGTTGACATTTTTGACAGGCTTCAAGTATATTATAAATATTAAGCCTTAAAAATATACCTAAGATGTTAGCGTAACAGATTGAGTGTTGAGTTCTCCATTCGAAGGGTTCGAGTTTCAAATTCCGGTTGAAACCAATTTTTTTTTTTTTTTTCAACTTTATTATTTTATATTATAAATTAATATAAATCGTAAATTAAAATATTTGTGTTAAAAGCAAACCGGACCTCTTGAGAAATCAAAAATGTGAGGATTTTCTAATATATAAAAGTAATTTTAAAAAGCTGACTTCAAAATCATGGAGATACCATCACCACATCTTGATCAAATTTATAGGAGACACCCCTGAGGTACCCCCTTACTAACAAAAAAGGAAATCATTGAAATCTGACAACGTGTTAAAGAATTATCACTATAAAAAAATTGAGACGAATTGAGAACTCCTGCTTTTTGAAGTCGGTTAAAAATTGTTTTTATATGCAAGCCACTGGGAATACTTCGCGAGGTTATGTGTCTCGAGAATATTGAGAGCTGTAAATTTGTGCCACAATAAGAAAAAAATCTGATGTGCCCCACACATGACTTTCCTGTTATTAAAGGCTTTTTCCTCTTATTTTGTACAATCTATTGTGTCACTCATGTAAATGCTAAGATGAGCTTATTATTATTTATATTTTAATAAAAATTATTTTTGTTGTTAGAATGAACCACCTAGTAATAGCTTTTGAAATAAATTCATAAAAAATCCGTATTGTTACACTATCAGCAGCCGAGTTGTAAGTTACACAGTTAAAAAAAATTATCCATGTGGGCAACGACTACCAATGAATTGAAAGAAAAAAAGTGATAGGTAATATTTTTTTTTTTATTTCACAATGTCGGATATAAAAAGTTATATAGAAAAAGTTAGTATTCAATATCATCTAGACAAAAAACAAAAACATGTTCTGACCATTCTTTAACAGAGATATACAGTAAACGCCAAATCTAAAGAACCAAGGACGCGCATTTATAATGCTACGAACACGCCTACGCGATGAATAGAATTGGTAGCTTATCTAGAAAGTTGTAAACCAGGGGCGCGTATATTTTAAGACAAAATAAATGGAAAATAGTGAATGATACTTGTTCATACATATTGCTTAGTGTTATTATTAGTACATAATTCTATAGTCAATTAAAAAAGCATTATTTTTAAGTAAGCCGACTTTAGGTTAAGGCTGTTCTACCGTTTTCCGTTCGGTATTTATATAAAATTCTGTTACAGTCAGGAAATTATCCTTATTCATAAATTAAATTTGATAAAATTGTATATTGGCGAAACGGGCCGTACTTTCAAAAAAAAGCTATTTAAAATATTACAATAGTTATACTAAAAACAAAAATAATTCTACAAAACATTTTTATCTGAAAATCAATCGTTTATGCAAAAATTGTTTCACATTTTGAGAATAAAGGCATTAAATTAAACCATTTCGAATCACTTGAAATAAATTTATTTAAAAATTCAAATATCCTCTTAAGTGATCAATTAGATATTAATAACTGAGCTTAATTAAATCTCTTTACCTGTTCTTAGTTTTCTGTGAGATAATCCCGGTAATATCTTATTGGAATTTTAATTATATATTTCTCTTAAGTACCTACTTTAACTAATTAATTTATTTTGTATATATATATTAGAAATGTAAATGAGTCACATTTGAAGAAGTTGTACTTAGAAACAATTGTCGTATAATTTTTAATTTTTATTTCTTTAAATAAAAGTGTGAAAATCTACCATGTTTGTTTTTCTCATTTTAATATGGATTTTCATCGAGTAAAGGCCGAAACTATCAAGAAATGAAAATGAAATGGTATTAAATACTTACCACTCCTGATAAAGCATTGTAGTTAACTTTATATGAACGTTTCGACCACACTCCATCAACAATAACTGTAATCAGCCCATTGCCTTCTCTATCCAGAACAACGTAAACAGTAAATCACAAATAAATAATGTTCATATGTCTTCGTCAGATTCTTCGTTGGAAGAAGACTGTCGTCACTGGAATCCTTATTAGGATTAATGACGATATGATTAATTTCCATGCTATTTTGTTTACCTGTCTAGATTGAAAAATAAGCTTTTACCTTTGACAATATCAGTAGAAAAAAAAAAAGAAAAATCGTTTCACATTTACCTTTATTTACATTTGACATTTATACAAATAATAAATCTTAATTTAATTTTACAACATATTTAAGTTTATTTATATCAATTTCATTATTTAAAAGTTTATCAACAGTGCTTTTAATTATAATATTAATATTATGTTTAGATCTCTTTTTTGGGGTTATATTAAAATTTAACTGAGCAATAATGAAACCATAATACTATCATTTTTTAAATGGTACACTAGTTCACAGATGTTCGAACTGTATTTCCCAACTGCTCGATTAAGACGATTATGCCAACCTTCCTAAACATTGCTAGTACGATCTCTTTCATTAAAACACTACCACATATCACCTATAATATCATTTACTAACCATTGCTTAACAAAATAATTGTTAACTTCTTCAATAGTACTTAACTGCGGGGATTCCTCCATAATATATAGCCATCCATCGTCGACTGCAGTGGGAGGCAGTGCCATTGCTGCACATTTCCTTATATGTTCCTTTACGTCAACGTTTTCTACATAATCCTTTGATAACCCCAGTGATATGTATATGTATGTTCTTATGTATATGTATAATTTATTAAGTACAAAAACTGTGTTCTGTTCTATAAACTTATTATGTGGAGTATGTTTCCTATGAAATCGATGGTAATTATGACCGAAACGTGTGTACACATTGTAGATTGACACAGGTAGCCTCAGTGCAGTAATAGAATTCTTTTACAGACAAATTTGAAATTTTACATATAGAAAATAAGGGCATTAAACTAAACCATTTAGAAACACTTGAAATAAATAGATTTAAAAATTCAGAACCTACTAAATGATCAATAGATATTAATAACTCACCTTTATTAAATCTCTTTCCTAGTTTTCTGTGAGATAATCCCGGTAATGATACTATCTTATTGTTATCTGATTAATATTATAATTACTTAATTACCCCTATTTACTTTAAATTAGTCAGTTTATTTTGTTATGTTATTGATGTATTTTCTTAATTACTTTGTTTGGTTAAATTACTTCGCAAATATATTGGTCACCGAATTTGTAAATTAGTCACATTTGAAAAAGAAGTTGTACTTCGAAACATGTCATGTGTTTTTAATTTTTTTTTTTTTTTTTTAATAAAAGTTTTGGGAAAATCTACCAAATTTGGTTTTACTCATTTAACACATTAAAGTTGTAACAACTAAACAATATAATAAACTTTTAAAACCAAATTCAATTTATATTTAGAATTAAATAAGTTAGCTAAAATTTTTAAACATATGAATTTATTAAAGTTATAAATAATTACGTTACAAAGATTAATGTGAATTTTCAATTTGTATTGATGTGATAGTTACCCATCAGCGTTTTACAATATCAATACATGGCTTGGCTTTGACACAAAATCCTTTGTAGAAAAACTACTAATCCGAATCAGAATCTTGATATTATTATTTGTGAATTTAAAAACGTGGTCCACTAATTGAAATATTTGGTATAATAATTATATATCAATTGCTACTGTCACTGGTAAAATCTAAAATTTAAAAAAGCGTATTATTATAATAATAAGACATTAATCATATTTTAAATGGATCGCTTACTATCATGTTTTAGAAAAAAGTGTAACTCTTAAATTAATAAACATATTCCAAATAATTTAAGATTCCTTGCGTCATTTTAATAAAAATTAAACTAAATTTCTCACCATTTATTTGGTATTCTGTCCCATACTTCCATGTCTCTAATAACTCTGCTGTCAACTAGTTCTGGTTAGGTATATTGCATATAAAAAAATGTTTAAATTTTATTTTGCATCTTTTCTTCCCAAAAGCTGTCATTATGAGGAATTTTCTCCACTTTTATTCCTCGAGGAGTCCAAAAAATACAAAACTCCGTTTGTGTAATATGCAGCTAGCCCTGAATTTGAAAGGGGGCGTACATTAATTACGTGAGGTGTTCAAAGTAGGGAAGGGGATGAAACTAAATCTTTCAAATCTCACTTGGGGGAGAGGGGGGGGGGCTTTGTAAATCTGACGTAATTTTTTTTTTCTAATAGAAAACGGTGCAAAATTGCGTAAAAGTTAAATTAAATTAAAGTAAAGAATGTTTCTAGAATAAAATATGGCAAAATCTTATATTATGCACGAGTCCCCATGGACTGAATCAGAATAAATCTATTAATTTTCCTTTAAGTATTTATTATTTATTTTTATCACTGTGATTTTATATTACGGCAATATTTTCAAATAATAGTGTTTGCTAGTCTTAAATAAATGTAATAGAACATATTGTGTTTTTTTTTTTTTTTTTTAAATAATTCGACGTATTTACAACGAAAACACAAATTTTTAAAAATCTCACGTGAGATTAGGGGAGGGGGGAGGAGTTGAGGAAAATCTCACCAGGGGGGAGGAGGAGGGGGTAAAAAAATCCTTAAAAATACCTCACGTAATTAATGAACGCCCCCAAAATACCAATTTGTGGTTTTCCTTAAAAATAAATAAAAATATTTCTAAATTTCACTAAACTCCTATTGCGTTTTTTTAATTTTTAAAATTTATTTGCAGTTGATTTTGGCGTTTCGGCGCAACTAGATCGTACCATCGGTCGACGTAACACATTCATCGGCACCCCTTACTGGATGGCGCCTGAAGTTATTGCGTGCGATGAAAATCCCGATGCGACTTACGACAATCGAAGCGACCTGTGGTCTTTGGGCATAACCGCACTCGAAATGGCAGAATCTCAGCCTCCCCTTTGTGAGGTAAGAAATATATGAATATAATCACCAGATTTGCCATTTGAACAGCATCAACATCGAGATCATCCACTAGAATACCTAATAGAATAAAAGGTGTCGGTCTTCATATATCATTTTGGACGCTAGATAGACCTAATAGTGACCTTTGAAGTACTCTCTTCTTCATAATCCTTATATCTGTACAAACAATATATATTTTTACTTTGTTTTTTAAAAAAAATACTAGTTATTACTGGTGTCAAGGTCAGTTATATCTGCCACACTTTTTTTTTACTAAACAACTCTTAAATTATTTACTTTTTGTTTATCTTGAAAAGAGAAGGTTAAATTGATGTATTTGCGTCATCAGTGACATCTGTATTTTTTTTTAGCTGCACCCAATGCGTGCGCTATTTCTTATTCCAAGAAACCCACCGCCTAGGTTGAAAAGCAAAAAATGGAACAAGAAATTCCATGGTTTCATCGAGACTGTTCTAGTTAAAGATTACCACGAAAGGCCTTACACAGAGCAGCTACTAAAACACCCTTTTATCAGGGACCAACCTACTGAGCGACAGGTAGAAATAATTAACTTTTTTTTCTTTATTGAACGTCCTTTGATTCTTTTCGATATTTTTAGGTTAGAATACAGTTGAAAGACCACATCGATAGATGTAAAAAGAGGAAACAAGAAAAAGAGAGAGAAGACTACAGGTATTCTGGTTCCGAGAACGAGGAGGAAGAGCCTCAAATCGCCGGAGAACCTAGCAGTATTATACAAGCACCTGGGGGCGATACTTTAAGAAGAAACTTTCAGCAAATTCAAGAAGGGCGCACCCTTAGCCAAGTCGAACCGCCTCCAAGGTAAGAACGTATTACCGAGCAGGTGTATTTGACTTAATACAATCGTTTATTACAGAAGTGCTAAAATTAAAGATCGAGAAGAAATTCCAGAACCGGGACCACCAGCGAGGCCGCCCATTCCACAAAGGATGATCGTCGTGCCAGATCCGGCGCCACCCAGAAGGTAAAATAAAAAAAAAGGAAAAACGTTTGTTTTATAAAAAAAATCGGTTGGTCATGTTTTATATTTTTTAGGCCGTTACCACCGCCTCCCGACAACAATTTTGGGGCGGCTAAATCCCAAAATCAACAACAGCAACAAAGAAATTCACAACATCAGTTCAAGCCTATGGTATGTTTAGAAAGACCATGCATTTAAATATATGTACAGTTTGTTGTTGACTAAAATTTCCTATGTAGATTCTTGTTTGTGTCTAATTTTAAACATCTCATTTCGATTAACACTGTATACTGTTTATATAAGTTTAGTTGCATATTTTATTTTTTAGATCAAAATTTATATCAATTTTTTTAATTATGTGTGAAATTACCACAATTGCTTTTGACGACTAACTTCAGACCTGACATTTGACAGCTATCAAATGCCATTAAATTGACATTTGACAGTTAACAATTAAAATTCAGTTGTATAAATATTTGCAAAAAGTTATTTTCAAAAAAATTTAAATAGTAATAAGCGTAAATAAAAAAAATGTTTGGTGACAGAAAATCGTGCAGACATGACAGATTTAATTTGATTTTTTATGTTCGTAGCACTGCTTTCTCTCTAATTTAGCTCTTCTGTTTATTTCATGTCCATTTGTCACCTCTTACAACAGGGTCCTGCACGTAAACCTGAGGTAGGTTATTTTTATTTTTTTATTGTTTTCTCAACTTTTTCTATCCTTTTGTATGTATCTTCTTATTTGTGTTTATCATTTTTGTGTACATTGTATATATTCAATAACGCACGGTTTAAATGTTATTTAAAAGCGCTTTATAAATAATACAATACAATATCTTTATTTACTTGAGAAAATATTACATATGGTTCGTCAAATTACAATTAAAAGTAAATATATACAGGGTGTTTTTTTAATATTACGAAAAAAATTCAGAGGCGTGTCCTTGTACGAAATGAAGCAAAAAAGTTTCTATGAACATATGGCCTACGCCTGTTAGATTTTGAACTGCAGTGTGGTAAAATATTTATAGGCATGTTTCAATTTTTTACCAGAAAAAAGTAACTTCACAAAAAATGCTTCTCTCAAACTCAAGGATATTTAATTTCAATGCATTATTTTTCTCTAAATAAAAAATACAGTAATTACTATTAAATTAAAAAAATTAAATTTTAATGATAGGACATTGCAGGAAAATGGTTTTTATTTTTTTATGCGAAAACCATGCATCAAGCGAAAAAAGACCAAGAGACCAGATATGCTATAAAAGAAATAAAGAATTCAAAAATGTTTTTTATTACAAGAAAAACCAGTGGCGTACCGTTTTTTTTTTTTTTTTTTAAAGAAATATTCAGTTCAAAGCCCGCATGAACGCCAATGGCGAATGTAAAAGTTTAAATTGTATATCGGAAAATGGCTTTGGATGCATAGAAACTGCGTACCAATTTTCAGAAAAATATCTACAGGGGTATTAAATGTATTGCAAAAAATAAGTTTTTTTCTTATAACTTTACCACCCTGTAGTTCAAAATCTAAGAGGCGTAGGACATATGTTCATAGGAACTTCTTTGCTTCATTTCGTCCAAGGGACACGCCTCTGAATTTTTTCGCAATATTAAAAAAACACCCTGTATAGGTATAATAAAATTTACCTAAATATAATAATATAAAATTGAAATTTACAAACATTTACAGAATCACTCAGAGGCCACAGTGACATCCTCCATCTGTATTAATTTAAATTCCTCTAAGCTATATATAGTCTAATCAACAAGTTCAAAAGTGTGTTTTTGGGACATACTATTACGAAAATTATGTTCAATAGCTGATTCGATTCGGAATAATGTCTAAATCAATGTGTGAAGAAAAATTTTGCAGTGCATAAAAAATTGCAAAAGTTATAAACAATTAAACACCTCGAAAACATGGTGTTTGGTTTTTCGCCTATAGTTTGTAAACTATAAATATTTTTGGATTTTTCAAAAAAGATCCTTAAAGAGGAGGAAATTTGCTATAAATAAGTTCCGACTCCCGGAACTGTACTTCCATTATTTATAATTTTAATTTAACGCTCAAAGTAGCCTTCCGCGCGCCATTTTTAGGTTGCGCGCACGGCGTCGAAACCGAGTACGTTACATAAAATAATTTTTTTAAGTTAATAAAATTAAATTCAAAAATTTAAAAAAATTACGGTGTATTCTAAACACTTAGAAGAATTCATTCCCGTTGGAATTTTTCATAAAAATTAATTTTCCAACAAGGTTATTGTTAATGAACAAAATTTTTAGAATTTCTCTCATCATTACAAATTGATAAAAATATTAAATAATTACCGTAATTTTTTTTTGCTTCGTGGTGCTCTTTTTATATGCATATAAAACAAAATAGCTTCATAAAAGTTTAAAAAATGTTATTACTTTGTTTATAATGTTTAAAAAATGTTAATACTTTGTTTATAATATTTTTTTAAAGTTAACAAAAACAGAAAAGTGCTATAATTTTTTTATTTTTAACAGTTTATTATAATATTACTGTTTTAATGTCGGGAAAAGTCATTTATTAATTAAATAAAAAAAAATTCCTCCATTTGTTTATAAATTTTTTATAAACAAATTGAGTATTTCAATTTTTTTCAAATTTTTTTTTTACAACTTTCTAGACAATTGCCAATTATGATTTAAAAAAAAATTTCTTAATAATATCTTTTAATTGTTTATACTCGTTTTTTTAATATATTTATTGTTTAAATTATTAGTTAAAAAATGTGTTTTTTTTTTAATTATAATTGACAGTCCTCTACAAAGTGACAGCAAAATTTTTTTTTTTTATTAATAATTCCATTGTTTATTAAGTTAACAATTTGTTATAAACAAATTCCCAACTTTGGTTTATTTTTTCCTGAAAGAAATAAAAATTCCAAAAACGCATTAAAATTACGGAAAAAAGTTTATTCCATTTTTTATTAAACTTTGAAAATATACGTACTATCAAAGTTGCAGCAGCTGATCCATTTGTTGACTTAAGGTAGTCCACTCGCGACAGTCGTACATAAAAATATCGCTTAATGGTGAATACCAATAGTTCGAGATTCTCAATGCTAATCAATTTTATTTTTGTAAGAGACTGTACAAAACACATGTAAGCTTATATCATCTTATATATATGGATTTTAATAAAATCCATCCGGCAACCTCATAAATATATAAATGGTTTGCTATAGAAATATGTGACTTCCTCATATTAATTTTAAGGGTTTGTTTTGGTTCAAACAGAACCGCTGATTCCAGTTCTCAAATACAGTGGACGAATTAATTTTCCAAGGAAACGTCGCGAGGTTATAACATCCTCTTAGCTGATCGAGTGTTAGTTTGGTACAACGCGTTGATTGCAGCGTATACAACGTTGCCAAGTTGTAATAATTTTACGCTTTAAAAATATTTTTATTTTAAAAATCTATATCTTTTTACTAAGAAGGTCAAAAAATTCAGCGTTTCTTTAGAAAATTTTATAACTTCTTGATTTACATTACATTAGTTTTTAAAAAATATGGTAAGAACAGTTTTCGAGATATCTGGAAATAAATGCATTACTTGTGTACATGAGAGGCTTCAAGAGTGTTAATTATGCACATTTTGATTGTTAATATCTCGTTTCACAGATGGTCAAAAAATTTAATTTTTTTTATTTACATAAAAGACACTTTCATTAACCTTATATTTCAATTTTATTGAATTCTTTAGAAAAGCCGTTTTACGAGTGAACTACCTTAAACGTTTATACAACTTTTAAACTATTGGAGATACGACAATAAACATTCAAGTCATTTTTGTAGGCAATGTAATTATCTCTCAGATAAGTCATTTGTCAATTCCGTACCTATTGTCAATTTGTTGTTTTTTATATTTGTTTATAAAAATTGATTTTTTTTTTTTAAGTTTTTCGAACTTTTGCGGCTTGTAGCTCAGTAAATAATGCAAATTCGGTTATTGAACTTCAAGGCAATTCTGTTAAGCTATTAATTATATAACATTTGCAATTGTTTATTTAATTTTGAACCTCCATTTTTATACATGCTACGACAAAAACTGCTAGCCATTCTATAATTGATTAAATTATAACAATCTTTTTCATGATTGTTTAACCAGTGCTCAGTGATGCAGATTATCTTAACAGATGTGTTTTTTATACTAAACCTTTCGATTTCTAAGATTTTGTTTCGTATACATTGAACATTCCAATGAAAGATGGACATAGCCCCCGTTGAAACCCTGAATGAGTCAATAGTATTGAGAACTTTAGAAGGCACATAGTCTTTAGTACTTATTTCGTGTCTGCTATTAAAAACGACCCAGTTCCAGTTTTTCTGTAACCATCGGGATTGTCGAGGAAATGTTGACCCTTCCTAAAGTAAAATCTTGAGAAGCATACATTTTTTGGCCAAAATGAATTCATATACACTACTTTTTTTATTGTTGGATCTACACCAACAAGGAAACAATTATTATCTTGATTGTTGTTGTAGGTATCCAGCTTTTTTACAGAAACATTAGCTTCAGTTTGATTTGATTTTGCAGCTATATATTTCCTTATTGTCTGATCAGTAACAGCATCTCTAACTCTAGAGATAAATAGCAAAATTTTCTTCACATTTTTATTATTTTTGGTAATACCAAGAAAAGCATTTTCCCCTATCAAGTTCTGTTGCTACTCCAACTTGTATTTTCCTTTTACTATGCGAAACTTTATGCCATTTATATTTGTTACTCCCTTCCGCATTTTCGTTATCATAGAGAAACGCATTGGGATTAAACATAATTAGAGTTGATACATCTTGTGTAGAAATATTTCTTTTTTGTATTACTAAATTGTTAGAGTTGGGTGTGCTTCTTTTTTTTGTTGCTGAACATCTTCATTATATTTAACATAATTTGTGGAATGTTTACCATGCTGATGAGGATTTGAATTGCTGATAATTGATTCATGCCTGACTTGAGGGCCTGGTGGTTGTGTGGAATAGGTATTTGGTTGACATGTGGTTTTCAGGTTCTTTCGATTTATATTTTCAGATATTTGTTGACTCATGATATGATATTTTGGTTGACTGATTTCATGAGGCATTTGATGGTGTGTATGATACACAAATTGATTCATTTTTAAGCACCTTCAACAGTTCAACGTTAGATTCAGTCACATTATTTAGATAATATTATGCTGCTGAAGATGTTAATTAGTCAAAATATAATCTGTGTAATCCAAAAATGAAAAAATTGTAGATCAAAGAGGTCTAAAGCTGACAGACTAATTCAAAACATTTAAAAAGTTTTTAATTACCCCAAAATCGATGTTACTATAATTGGCGCTCAACGTGGAGGGTGTTGAAGTATATTCTTAATATTATTAATATACTAGTTGCGACAAATCCATCTAGCTTTTCAAGGCACCGGCACTAATCAAGTAACACTAGTTCCACAATCTTCATGTATAAATTTTTAAATAATTTAAACCAATCTGATATTTGTAAAATTCGAAAAATTTTCTTGAAGTTTGAGTTACATTAGATGTAGCTTATTTACTTCCATTTGTATATTCGATATTTATCCAAGAAATCGAAAAAAATAATGAAAACTTAACTTCCAAAGATTTATTATCCGCAACTCTTGTGACAAATACAGTAATTCGACTAAAAATGTCTTATATGATGCTATTTCACCTAAATTTCGTTTGTTCTATTTTCATATCGGCCTCTTCTTAAAACCAAGAAAGTTCTTGTCAATTAAAATACGGATATAAAGATTTTGATTTTGAACTCGCCTTTTGTAAAGCTTACAGAACCGAATTAATAATCTTTTCAGGAACTGGACGCTCTCGCCGCCCATTTGAACGAACTGGGCGTGCAGCAGACCAACCAGCCCGAGGCGCCGCCTCGCAACCGAAACTACAAGCAATCCCAATCCGCCTCCAATAATAACGTAACGACGCCCGGATCCGCCGTCAATCACACCCCCACCAATCAAGGCGGCAACAATGTCGATAGTTTGGTTGACAGCGAGTCTGATTCCGAACCGGAAGATAACGGTAGAGTAAGGAATGACGGGACGTTGTTGGCCAGCGATCCTCCAAAACCGCTGTAAGTACTGTAAAAAGAATCGCATCGTTCAATATATAGTATTTTTAATACAAATCCCGATGCAAGTCAGATATCATTTATGACGTCACGGCTTTGCAGTGTTGTCTAATCGTCAGAATAGTTGTGGAATTTAAAAAGTTTTGAAATTATAAAGTTATGTTTTCTTTTTGTTATGTTACCAAAAACAATTATTAGTTTTAAATGTACATAATGAAAAATATTGATTTCCTTTATGCATAATAAATATCTGAATAAAAATGATGTAAACATATCGCAAATAGTTATGGAAAATAAAACTGTAAGGTACTATATTGCAGATGAACTAAAATTGGTTTAGAATTAGCACAGAAAATATCTCAAACTAATTTCATTTCACCAAGAAATGTATTTAACAGAACTGCATTTAAATTATAGACCACAACACACCATGAAATTAAAGAAATGATTGAAAAAATGAAATCTACAAAGGCATGTAGAGAAGTCACAATATCAATAGATATACAGGGTGTTTCATAATATATGCGCAGGACTTCAGGACGCGATAGCTCGTCGAAAAATGTGAAAAAACGTTTCCTTTAACTTACACTCTAAAATGTACCATTTTCGAGATACAGGGTGTTGAAATTGAAAGAAAAATTTCTACGCCACTGGAAAAAGTACGGTTTTGAGACGCCTATTTGAATCGCCAATGTTTTCTACACAAAAAAGGTACTTTTGGTCATACGCTCTAAAGTCGACCGTTTTCGAGAAAAATCAAATTTTGTTTCAAAAAGTTTTATTTCCAAAAATTGACTATGTATTTCAACATTAAAATTTGATTTTTCTCGAAAACGGTCGGCTTTAGAGCGTATGACCAAGAGTACCTTTTTTGTATAGAAAACATTGGCGATTCAAATAGGCGTCTCAAAACCGTACTTTTTCCTGTGGCGTAGAATTTTTGTTTTCAATTTCAACACCTTGTATCTCGAAAATGGTGCATTTTAGAGGGTAAGTTAATAGAAACGTTTTTTCATATTTTTGGACGAGCTATCACGTCCTGAAGTCCTGCGCATATATTATGAAACACCCTGTATGTACTTAAAGAATTCAAGATTGAAATTGTTAAAATATTTAAATACAACAAAGAAATTAAAATATTTGAGTAAGTGCTTCAACTATAGACTGTTATCGCTGCTTCCCTTCATCTCTAAAGCTATTTAAACATGTATGAATAATAGTACCATCACTCAAACATCAAGATTCTCCACCTTATCAGTTTTAATAGACATTTGAAAACTGTTTTGCTCAGTGAATTCTTTATCAATGCGAAACTGTGAAATATTCTACTTGTTGCTATATCTACTCATATATATTCAATATTTTATAAAAAAATCTTAATTTTGTGTTTATTGTTACTAGTCTTTTTTTAAACCATTGTAAATAGTATTTCATTGTAAGACTCGCATAGCGAAACCTTTGAGTGTTTTATTTTTTATATATACATTTTGGAAAAAATAAAAATGCAGATAAAAAATATATTAAACTATTTATTGTTATTAAAATAAGACAATGTTTTATTTGAATCCCGGAAAAAAGCGCAAAGGAAATATCCCCACAGACATATAACGCGCAGCAAATAAGCGCACGTAGAAAGATGCGCACATTGAAAAAAGAGCACATTGAAAAAAGCGCAAAGTACATGTAGTTTATATCTCGTTAAGAATAGGATACAGAACAACTGAAGATTCTCTGAATAAAAATAAAAAAAATTAAGTTCTATGAATACATAGTCAAAAATTATATCTGTGTGAAAAGTAACCATCAAATATGCGGACTTATATCACAGATATTATGTACACAGAACAACAAATGCATGGGAATGGCATTCTGATTTTAATCCAACTTCTATAATTCTCAACCGAGTTTATACCATTTTGTACATATTTTATTAAAATCATATTTTAAAATTAATCCAACAAACTGTTTACAAAAAAAATTAAAAAGTACCACATTAAAAAAAAAATTTATAGAATTTAAAATTTTAGATTATAGGAACAATATTTGATCTAAATATGTTTTTGTAAAAGTTATGCATTTTCAGTATTTATCATTCTAATGAATATCTAAAATCTTACAAATATTTTTATTCCTAGAAATATTTCTTAGCATTTTAATCCCTTTGAAGCGCCGATTATGCCGTAATTGAATGGGTACTTAAAGCAGGTACCAGCCTTGTGACGGAATTGATCGCCCCGAGATTGTTAAATTATTTTTTAATTATCGATTATTTGCAAGTGGTCATTTATTTTTACTAGGGATTATAAAATTTAGATAGGTACTTATTATTTCATTTATTCGGGGTTGTGACATTATTATATTTCTTGGAATTTATTATTTGCAGAATTAAGGCAGGTAAGTAAAGGCGCTTATAAATAGACTACGGAATTTAAAGTTAATTTATTGTGCTCTAATTCTTGAACAAGTTAAGTTGACTTTTTGTAATAAACGAAATTGAGTTTTCGTCTAGTCAAAAAGGCAAGCGAGTTCTTATTTACAATGGTTTTGAATATATACATTTTCGCACAACAAATGGGATAGATACATGGAGGTGCCGTGAAAATCGACAAACTAAGTGCCATTCCTTAATAAAAACGAAGGACAAGGACATTGTACAAGATCCAGGCAGTCATTGTCATGATTCATGTCCCCAAAAAGCAGAAGCAAATATCGTCAGAAGCCAAATGCGAGAAGCCATGACAGCGGTGAATGCTACATCTCGCAATGTTATTGGAGATAAATTATCAGGAGTAAGCAATTATGTACTTGCTTATATTCCAAAACATTCGTCTCTTGCCAGAACACTTCGAAATTATCGAGCAGAGAAGCACTTGCCAAATCCATCTACGATGCATTTTGCAATTCCTGACAAATTCTCGGACTTAGTGCTGCATGACTCTGGAGTCGAAGATCCAAACAGAATTTTAATTTTGGGAGATCGCGAGTTATTGTGCGAATTAAACAAAGCCACTCTATTCGGTGACGGAACATTTGATAAAGCACCAACGATGTTTTATCAACTTTATACTTTGCATGCCAAAGTAGGAAATTTGTATCCACCATGTGTGTACATATTGTTACAAACTAAGAATGAAGCAACATACCTACATATGTTTCAAATTGTAAAAGGGTTAGTTCCAAGCATAGCTCCCCAGAAGATACTTTTAGATTTCGAGAAAGCCTGCATGAATGCTGCAGGGCGAACTTTTCCAGAAGCCGAAATTAAGGGATTTTATTTCCATTTGTGTCAAAGCCTTATCAGAAAAGTTAATGCAGTTGGTTTAAAATCGGAATTCGAATCGAACATCGACACAAAATTAAAACTAAAATCCTTGGCAGCATTATCGTTTGTGCCGTTAGAAGATGTACAAGATAATTTTAATAGCCTTGCAGAAACTTTTCCTGATAAAGAGAGATTTAACGACGTCCTTGCATATTTTTTTTCAACTTATATACAAGGTGCCGCCGGAAGAAGTCCACAATTCCATCCGAGAATATGGAACCATTACGATGCCGCTCTTGATGAAACGCCAAGAACGACCGATTGTTGTGAAGGGTTTCACAATGCCCTTAATTCCATATTTCATTGTAGTCATCCGAGCATATGGATGCTTTTCGATGGATTGAGAAGAGATTTAGCATGCCACAAACTTACATTGGTGAACTCCCAAGCTAACAGACTGGAGCCCACCAAAAAGAAATACAGACAACTGTACGCGCTTGTAGCCAGTTCTGTAGAAAAGTATCAAGAAACAGATAACAAAGTATCTTACTTAAAAAGAATAGCCAACTTACAGTAGAACGTCTATTAAAGTGCGTTTATCTTTTGTTACATTATTCATTTTTTCGTTTTTAATGTATTAATATGGAATAAAAATATATTACACTAAAAACCTATATGCATTTTACGTTTGTACCTACATTATTATATATAAAAAATATAAACACAAATTCATGAATATATTAGTACAAATAGTTGGCGATTATAAAATTAAAATAAAATCAACATGGAATTGCAAAAATATTTAGGTTTTAAAGATAAAATATGTACCTATAAAACTCGCCATTTTACAAAAATATTTCGAACCAAAAACCAATTCTATTTATCAATAAAAAATATAGTACACTTGTCTGAATTTTAAAATTAGCGCGAAACAAAAATAAAACCAGTCTTCAGTAACTTACTTATTGTAAATAAAATTTTGTTATTATTATTATTATTATTTTATTACTTATAAACGTAATTTATTATAAAATATTATGAAATAAAGTGAGCTTTTTTCCGTGTGCGCATATTTCCTCGTGCGGTTATTTCCTGTGCGCTTATATATCTGTGCGCTTTTTTCTGTGCGCATATTTCCTGTGCGCTTATTTCCTTTGCGCTTTTTTCCGGTCACCGTTTTATTTAAAAAATATATTTTCTCTCATCTACTAATCTGTAATTCCTACAAAAATTCTACAATTTCTCCTAATCCAAATCGCAAGTACTTGAATCACTGTCATCACTATCACTGTTGGGGTTAATTATGATAGGCTTAATTTCCAATCTATCAAAAACTCTCTCTCTCCCATACTATTTTAATATTTCTTTTTCGGTTTGTTCAATATAATTTTTCCATATTTGGGGTGTAATCGTTCGAAGTGCTTCAGACCACATATTTAAACAATCTTGTTCTTTATTACCATCTCTACCAATATGTTTAATAATATTGCTTGGAAATGCCCCAAATTAATTCATTAGTTTTTTTTATGAACCTTTTACCATCAACATTTGTACTTTTTACACTTCCTTTATTGCTGTCTTGCCAAGAGCGGTTTATGGTGCCATTTTGGAAAATCCAAGTCTCTTCAATAAAAACAAACTGGTACAAATTTGCTACCTTTTCTTTGGTATATTTTCTTAAAAATTCTGTCTGTTTCACGGCAATATCTGGAAGTTCCATAAGACCTCGCCTTGGTTCATCTTTCTGCCATTTGAAACCTATTTCTAATAATAAGGTATGTAATGATGTGCGACATCCATTGAACAACTCCTCATTAAGTTTCACCAACAAAGAATCTAAACTTACATGCTCCTGTTTGTTTAATAATAATTTATATACATATACACTTACTAGGCTCGTACATGCTATAAATAACATCTCGAATAGCACTGGTATTCAGAATTCTTGTGTTGGTAACTTTCTTTTGCCCAGGGCGCTTTTTTTGGTGGTGACTTTAAAACTTCACTGCTCTTTACAGCTTGTGAAATAGAACTAACAGTAGAAAAATTGAGATTAAGTGCTTCTGCGACACGCTGAAACAAAATAATTATATTAATTTGACAGTGATACATTATTAATCAACTCACTTCTCTTACAGCTGTTAAAGGTAACAAAGGCCCATTATTACCACGTTCTTTCTCAAAATAATTTATTAGAGAAGCCACTAGTTCCTTGCAGCGATTATTTAATTGTTTTGGCATTTTTCAATGAAAAAATACACAATAAACGAAATTAAATTCCTAATAAATTTGTTCTGAAAGAACAGTTTGTTAATAATTTAATCTAAAATATAAATAATTTGTTGAAAAGAAATCGATCGATGCAAAATAATACAAAACAAATAACAATTGACAACAATGTATTAAAATTGAAAGCTGACACATTTGATGCCAACTTTTATTATGAAATTCACTAGAAAGTATTCCGTTATTAATCTGCCTACAGTACATGATATGTGATATGATAAAAAAGACATTTTTAATATGCAATTTTATAAAAATGAACTCCATGCGTCTAAATTTATTCATTTATTTGCAAAATAAAATTTAATTATTTTTATTAGTATATGTGGTACCAATGACTGTCACTGACGTCATCTCTGACGTGCATCGGTTTTTATATTGAATGCTCTATACCAATACTGTCTCTATTAATTAAAAACTCTGGAAAAAATATCTACATTTAATTTTTTTAAGATTGAATCATTACTAATTCATATTTATTCTAACCCCTTCCCTTCCCAATTTGTTTAAACTTATTTATATTATTCAATGATTTTCCAATTTTTTTCCTCAACATTTTTAATTTTCATCACATTTTTATTTTTTCCATTTTTTTCTTTTATTTTCGTTTTGTTAGCCCCGAATTCTCTTACAGAGCCGGTCTAGGTGTAGTTCCCGAAGGCACGGCTAGCGTATCGAGCCCAGGAGCGACGGCCGGATCTGGTTCGAGTAGTTCAAGTGCTCCCAACAGACCTCTGCCTCCTACTCCTGACGACGAGGAATCTCAAGGAGACAGGACGCTTGTACTCAGAAAGGTAAGTATTTTTTTAACGTTATTCGCCTACTGAATTTTTTAATTGGCAATTGGCATTTTTTGTTTTTTTTTTTTTTATTCAATTTTCAGATTGGATTTTTTCTAATTTTGGGGATTTTTGGCGATTTTAACCATTTGATCATTCGTTTTTTATGATGTTTTTCTTCTTTTACGATTGGGAGTCAAAATTACATTATGTCCAAAAGCACAAAATTTTATTGCATGTTTCTAATATCTATTTACTTGTTTATTGTGGTTAAATATGATATAATTCTCCCAAATAAATTTTTTTAATACTTCTAAAAAGTTTATTATTTATCTTTTGTTTTTCTCGTAAACGTTTTTTTTTTAAATGAAAATATCTGGACTTGTTTTACTTGCTGCCGATTTTTAATTATATTAATGTTTCATTTAATAAAATCATAACTTTTTAAAAAAACTTCTTATTGATCGCCATTCGCATCCCCCCCCCATGTTCCTTTTTTATTTATTTGATTTTATTTGTGTAAATAAATTTATGTTAAAAAATGGCAGCAGTCCGCAGCTAATTTAGGTGACAAAAAAAAGGGTGAAGACATAGACGAAGCGACCCTGCTGAAAGATTGGGACTTCGACAAGTTTTTCCCCGTGAAGCTAAACAGCACTCAGACCTCATCGTCCTCTACCTCCAATAGTTCCGGTAACAAACTCGACGGTAAAACCAAGAAACAGGGCCACAGAAGAATGGAGAGCGATTCAAAGATATCTAATCCCTTCTTCAGAGGGTTTAGAAGAGAGAATTCTGATTTCTTCCCTATGAGCTCCAGGCATTCAGCCATTTACATAGACAAAAACGCCAGATCTAGTGGGATATTTAATAATCGCAGAGGGTCTGATGCAGGGATGACGAAAAAGACAAGCGGTGAACCCGTATTGATGGATTATATAAAAAAATCCGATTCCTTAGTCAGCTCCGCCCCCAAAAAAGATTGTCATTACCCAGAGAAACAAGACTCTAGCATAATATCGAACTTTGTACGACCGCGCAGAGAAAAGACCGAATCTGATCTGGTTCTGAGAAACTCTGAGGCGCGCAGGAGCATTAGAGAAACTCTAGAGGCTCGAAGGAAAGAAGTGGAGGCTCAGTTCGCTAAGGAAGCCGAGAATATGCGCAGACGCAGTTCCAAACCGATCGAAATGAACGCTTTGAACATTTCGAATATTTCGAACTCCTCGGCTGGCTCGAATTCTACCGTAGGCGATGAGTTTTCTTTTATTCAGGTAATTTTTGGTTTGTTTGGTTTGATTTTTTTTTTAATATACTTCGGGTGCTTATATTGTTGAATATATTGTATATATAAGATACTTGACTAATATTTGCTAGAAGTACGTAGACTTAGGCGCTGAATACTGATGAAAGCTCTTTAATTTAATAGTTAGATCTGTTTTTTTGCGGTGAAGGACTATTTTTCTTATTTATTATATAGTTTAGAAATTAAGAAAATAAAAAAAAAGCATCGGGTAAAAAAACACTAAAAAAAAAATGTAAATAACAAAATTGTTAAAAATTCTTAATGTACTAAAAAATATTAAGTTTTTTTTTTTAAATTTGACATTAATATCCTATCTTTTATAGTTAATTTCTCAGATTTTCTCTAGTTTGAGTAATATACAGGGTTTTTTTTAATATTTAGTTTTATTTTCGTAAAAGTTATAACGGTTGAGATATAAGAAATTTTTCTTTTAATAATTGATTCATTTTAGCAGACTCTAGTCATATTAGGTAAAATAACAGTCTTTTGTTTCACCATTGATTTTTGACACTATATTGACGTATTGCTCTGTTAGCCAATCTAAAATAACGTCCTATTGTAAACGATAATTTTACTCACTATTTCAAACGCTTCAATAGATATTTTAATACGCTCTTCTATTAATATAGATTAGGATTATTAGGCAGCTATAGGTTAAGGATATTATAGGTATACAAATTAGTTAAACGTACTGCCAAGCCGAAAAATGGTTTTCATGCTCATAATACGTGATCAAAGCTGTAAATAATTTGAATAAAGTACGTTCAGTACATTTCGAGTCACGTTATTAATAAAATAATCGTATGTGGAAACAATATTTCACTAATTATTGCAATAAAAAAAGTAAAATGAACATTCATCGGTGTGTTATAGATTTATTAGATATTGAAAATGGTCCAAAAATCTCAAGATTTGAGAACTGTTATTTTTGGATGCCTTATAAAATTATTTAAATATATCAAATTTTATTTATTTCTATAACACGCCTCGGTTGCTTTGGTGCAGGATTAATTCATCAAGATAGTCCTTTGTACATAATAACAAAATACTTTTGGTACCAATTGCTTTAATTTTCATATTTCAGGTGTGAGATAACCAAATCATGAGTGGGATAAATTTTTCAGTATTCAGTAAAATTGTACATTTTTCATTATTAATTTTTCGACAAATACAATGCTTTTACTAAACTCGGTCGTCTGCATCTTGTAATAACAAAAAAATACAGGGTGATTTTCAGTGAGTTCTGCTTAGACATCTCTTGAGAACGTTATGATATATGAACCGTGGTATAAGTAATAAGATTAAATATTTTATACTTTTAACATAATTTTAAAATAAGGTAATAATTATTGGAGTAATAACTGAAAAAATGTATTAAGATTTTTCTAAAAATATATTTTACAATAAAAAATACACTTAAACATTCTTAAATCAGGAGGATTAGTTTTTTTAAATATTATATATGTGCCACAGAGGTAAAGAATCGTATATCCAATTTTATAGATTTAGAGATAATGAGGTTTAAAGTTTTAAAATATAATAATTATTTTTTTTATAGAAATTAATGAAATACAACAGTTTATTTTTTAAAGTATTTATTCAAGTAAGTCAATCGATATATTTTACCTTACAAATGCCAATAAAAATATCTACCTGGTTAGAATTAGTGACACTTGCGATTCTTTACCACTGAATAAAAAACGAGGTAAATGTTAAAAAACTTGAGCCTTAACTCCAAAAAAATATAGGAAATATTACGAGAAAGGGTTTTAATGATTATAATTCAGTCTGTATCAGATTGGTTATTCTCATGTTTTTATAAAAGTCATGAAATTGAGAAGGTATCCACTCAAATAAATTCAAAAGATGTTGATGTTTTTAGCGCTTATACCTTTGAAATTTTTCCGAATTGCAAGCAATTCATGTGGAATAGAATTTTTTTTTCTGGAAAATCTATTCAAATCAACACTTATAAATTCGTTATCGGTAAAGTCTGTTTTATAATAAAGCAGACATGAACTTTGACGACGTACTTCTAGCCATACTGCTGATGAAATAAGAACGTTTTCTTTTTCTGTATTGATTTTTCGGGGCATTTGAAGATGTGTACAAAAGATCAAAAGTTTTGAAATCAGTTACTTCCATGTTCCAAACTGTAGCCCCAGTTGATCTAATCAACTGTTGCCAATCTCAAGGTGTAGCTATCGTCATTGTTGGCTGCTTTTTAACGGTCCGCTCAATCAGATTGTGAACATGGTCTGCTTCTATATGAGTATGATCCCTGAGAATAAACTTATGTATTACTGATTTCAAGGAGGGACAACTATTCAAAAGATAAAAATAGTTTACAGCCATCATATTTCGATTTTGGCTTGGGCAATTGTCAGACCAAATTATCAATGTCAATGTGTCAGAGTCTTTCACAACTTCGTTGGTCGTTAGCAAAGCCGATGCAATTTCATGCCCCCCTCTTCCAGCAACAGATTCATCCCAAACCATGCAATAAGCTTTTTTTTTTTCTGTGGCGTCATATATGGTTAAATTTAAGGCTTCACTGAATAAAAACTTTTAGCGTTGGTTAGATGGGGAGTTGGTAAGCACTTTTGTAAATCTAACATGATAACCTTAGTTAATTCTCCCGCCGTTTCTTTATCTTGTTTCTTCCAGCTATAGCGATTTTCAACATCTTTTAGTTGACAATCAATTTTTTCTTGAATGGTTGCTCGTTGTTCTACTGAGGGACTTTCTTGTAATGCCATTTTCAAACTATCGCATAAATCACAAGTGTCATTCGAGGGTAGTTTAAATCCTAAATTAAACTCTGTATTGAAGATATGGCGATATACTCAAGGTTTAGCAATCTGACTCTTTGGAAGACCTTTTTCCTCACATTTAAGTTTGTACAGACTGAACATCTTGTTTGTATTAAGTTTGCTTCCCAAGTACTTCCTTTTCTTAATTTTTTCACGACTATAGTGGGTTTCATTAACTGGAAAAGACCGAATATGAGTGCGAATCCTTTCCTTAATAACTTCAGGCAACTTATTCTTTGGTTCGTGTCTCCCGTGCATGTTTTGTGAAACAATGCCTCGAATTTCTGATTTTTTCAATGCGTTTCTAATCAATGTCTCGGATATCCCTAATGTATTCAAAAAAAAAACTTTGCACACATTGATAATTTTTCTATCAACTTCAAAGTTATAATGTCTGTTTTCTCTGTTCGTCTCTTGTGCCAGTTGACGGTCTCTTCCGTTTAATTGGAGAACTTTTTATTCCGGAAAGCACAAACTGTCGTTTGAGGTCCCAACTCTTATTTTCATTCCAATAGTTGTTGAATATTTGTTCACGATTCAACTCGTTAATTTTATCGGTACATTTTTTTCTACATGGGCCACAACCGTCTTATCTTTTTTGCACTAATATTTTTTCCCAGTTTGGAAATCTGTTCTTTTCCATCCAACGTTGCTTTCTGTCTTTCCGTTACCTCCCAAGCCGCTTCGTTTCTTATCCGCTTTCTAGGTTTTCCTTGTTCTATAACTGGCTCAGTTTCTATATCAACATTCTCCTCTTCTCTTTGGTCATTAGCAGTCTCATTTTCCATGTTGTTTGTCTCTTTATCTCTGTCACGTTCGTCTTCGCTCGTGGGAATAAATTAAGGATCATCATCACTATTATCCCCAAACGGTTCAGGTTCACTATCAACATAGTTTCCTTGGTCTGTAACTGATTCACTTTCTATGGCATTCTCGTCTTCTCGCTGATCATTATATATCTCATTTTGCGTCATGTCCTTAGTCTCTTCATCTGTGGTATCATTTTCTTTCTCGCTTGTTTGAATGAAATTGGTTTTGTTTTCATCTGCATCTCTTAACGGTTCAAGTTCATTTTTCATATTACTCTCCTCTTCTCTCTGATAATTGTATGACCTATTTTCCACGATGTTGTTTGTTACTTCATCTGTGATACTTTCTTCTTTGCTTGTGGCAATGAAGATCGGATTTTCGACACCATCGTTCTCAAATGGATGAAGTTCATTATCAACATGGTTTTTCTCAACTATTAGTATTATTCGTTCTTCTTGGTGGACTGATTCTTTGAATTTATTGCTATTATCCTGAATTGCTGAAAAATAAAAAGAGTAAAAACAGGAGGAACCTAGGTATATTTTCTTTAATGATGTGACTAGGATGATAATAATAATAATTATTATTATCTAATTACTAATTATTAATATTACACCTTACAATTTGATCTAAACTATTTCTATATACCTGGCACTGATTCTTCCAAGGAATTTACTCGAATAACATCCCTATCATTGATTGACGAGACGTTAGGCATTTCTAAAAATTTAAATAAAGTTCAATAGTAAACAGTAGTATCTCCAATAATAATAGGTAAAGGAAAATTAGGAAGAAACAATTAGAAATGGATCATTTAAAACTATCCTAATACACTCCAAAATGTCATAATTTATTATTTAATAAACAATTTTAGCGATATTATATTCTTTAAACAATATTTTTTTATCCTAACTTCCAACTTACCTCGCATATTAGGGATACCGGAGGGGTTATTACTAGGATCTCTTATAAGATTTAGTATTTTTTGGGCTCTTGTTAACATTTTGGGGCCTTTTGTTGACATTTTGTGGCACTCTATTTAACCGCCAACATGAACTATGGAGTTACGATTGTTTACCAATTTGGTATTTATGAAAACTTGACTGCGCATAATCGCATGTTGGATATACGATTTTTTACCTTTTTGAGAAGTGGATATACTATCGTTTCTAAACGTATATCAGAACATAATAATAATAATAATAGACATACGATTTTTTACCACTAAAAAAATACGGACTCAGGTATTTTAGTCCATGCATTATCTCCATTTAATGAAAAAATGGAGATACGATCATTTACCACCAAAATACAGGCATTATGTATGTTAAAATATCAAAGAAAT